GGCATCAACACCAGACATGAGACCTCGGGACGTCTCTGAATCTCGCAGGCACCAAGGATGAATTTAATGGTGATGGTGTTGTTATGTGCCATGGAGTCGGTTCCGACTCATAGCAACCCTGTACAGGGTTTCCAAGGCTGTAAATCTTTACAGCAGCAGAAAGCCTCATCTTTCTCCCACGGAACAGCTGGTAGTTTCGAACTGCTGACCCTGAAGTTACCAGCCCAATTCAAAACCACTACGCTACCAGAGCTCCTTAGACAACAGTGATAGTTGTACAATATTTTGAATATATTTAATGCTACTGAATGATATACTTCCAAATGGTTAAATTGGTAACTTGTACGTTTCGTGTATTTTAACACCATTAAAAACAAGAGAGAGAGACCTGAATGACTAAATGTAATCTTGGATCAGAAAGAACGCAATCATGGGAAGGACATGGAAAACCCAGCGTAATTGAGCAATGTCTGCCAGTTGCCAGTTGCCAATGAATTGGTCCTGAATCAGTGATGCCATGTGTTGCACAGGATATACTCCAGGGGGTTTTCATGGCTGTCAAGTAGATCACCAGGTCTGTCTTCTGAGGTGCTTCTGGGTGGACTCAAACCACTAACGTTTCAGTTAGCAACTGAGTGCTTTCATATTTCTCTGTTGTATTGTCGAATCTAAGGAAGCAACTATTAACTAAATCCTACTTTATTTTGGTCCCTGAGTGACACAGATAGTTAAGCACTTTGCTACTAATTGAAAAGTCAGTAGTTTGAGTCCCCCCAGAAGCACCTTGGAAGAAAGGCTTGGTGATCTGTTTCCACAAGGTCACAACCATGAAAACCCTCTGAAGCATATCCTGTGTAGGATAGGATCTGGACTACTGCCCTCAAGGTCAGTAGTTCAAACCCACCAGCCACTCCAAGGGAGATAAATGAGGTTTTCTACTCCTGTAAAGATTTGTTGTTGTTAGGTGCCATCGAGCCGGTACCAACCCATAGCGACCTTATACACAGCAGAACGAAACACTGCCCGATCCTGGGCCAACCTCACTACTGTTGCCACGCTTGAGACCATCGATGGACAATTCATCTTGTTGGGGGTCTTACTCTTTTTCTCTGATCCCCTACCTTACTAAACATGCTATCCTTCTCCAGCAACTGGTCCCTCCTGACAATATGTCCAAAGTAT